GCTTAAACATTGCTTGTGGCACATGACCCCCATCCGCTGGCATCCACCCGCCAGCCCCGAGAGGACTGGTGGGCTTCCCCCGTTACTGGGAAGGGGGTCAGGCGCTTGTAGAGAGAGGCTCTGCAGCCTCTTGCTCCCACAAGAACATGCCTCTTGCCTGGATACAACTGGGCAGCAGCAGGGGTGCCTGAGTGTGAGGTCAGGTCTGGATGCACAGAGCCCTTCAGGTGAAAATACTTCCCTGCACTCCTTTCACTCAGACGCTGGGAGATTCCAGCTCCCCGGGCCTTGGCCAGTTGAGATTCTAGCGATGCCTCTCTGTCCCAGCCCTTCTTCCTCGTCTGGACTGTCGCCCTGATGTTCTCGGCTGCGCTGCCGTTGCCTTGGTCGCTCCACGTGCAGAGATCTGTACCTGGGAGATCAGGTGTTCTCTCACTGGGAAACGGTTCACACCGGCCCACACGAGTGCAGGGTTAGGGCGCCTTGGCCTGGAAGAGGAACAGAATCAAAATGTCACCGAGCTATCTATCCACTAGTGGTGAAGGGGCAAATCAGATGGTGAAGAAAGGGCGAGCTGCCCGTGCTACAAGCCCCTTTTACGGTGTTAGCCTTTGTAGGAGGCTCCCGCTGAGTCCGTTTTGAGGGGGAGAGCAGTGTCCATGGCCTTGGTGTGCAGGTCCCGTCCACAGTTCTCTGCCCTGCTGACTTCCGACAGGCAGCAACTCAGGGAGTAGTTCCCCCGTGAAGACCCCCTCCCGTAAGTGTGATTCCTGTGCGAAGCTGGGAGAGGAGGTCGCCGGGGTCTTCAGATGGAAGTCCTTCCACCTCCCTATCAGAGGAACCACAGACAGGATCACCACTGTCTCAAAGTCTCCCGGTCTTGAAACCTAATGTGCCTCAGCCCTCTTCCCAGGCGCTCATCACCACACACTTTTCTCTTCCCGCTTTACGCCTGCGGCGAGCAAAGAACACGACACCCAGCCAGGGCTAGCGAAGGGCTTGGCGTTCCACCCCGTGCCCATCCCGGGAAAGGGACGTGGCTTGGTGTTCCCCATCCCACACTGGCGGAGGGGGGCCTGCCGGGACAGCAACATCCATAGCGTGTCCGGCAGACAGAGGTGACCGTGGAAACTAAGTGCGGGTCTGGAAAAACTAAATTGTCGTCCCCCTGCCTGTTAAAGACCAGAATGAGGATAGTGGAGTTTGGTAGCTTCTAATGGGTTGCTCTGAAGAAGTGTAGTCCCAGTAGTGTAATAACTACTGCAAAATCTAAAGCCCAAGTCACATAGCTGGTAAGTGGTAAGGTGCCGTCTGCTTCTAAGGCTCGTGCTCTTAACCACCCTGCCCTCTACATACACTCCCTCCCCCAGTCCCCGGCCCTGCACGCATACACTCTGCTTACGTTAATTCTGCTTGCATGAATGAGCACACACCCAAAGAGATCATCAAAACACCACTTAGAACCTGCATCATCTAGAAGAGTTTACAAAGGGCTCTTGGGATTCCCAACCAGCCCTGGGAAGTGGGTGAGGAAGCTGACATAGTTGTAATTGTTGCAGCCACCCCAGTTCAGACAGACTGGGTGTCTGGCCCAAGGTCAGAGGGACTATGGCCACTGAGCCAGGGATCACCCTGGTCCAGATCCAGGCCGGGCAAAGATGTTTTTAGCCCTAGTTTTCTGTTTTGGGTGGCTCAGGTGGAAAGGTCCAGTCACCCAGATAGGCTTTCACAGGTTTAAAAATTTACAAATAACCACTGGTTCTGGGGGGTCTGAATGCAGGGCAGTCTTTCTCAACTAGACATTCCGTTCATCTATGGGAGTATTTTGAGTCCTTGCCAAAGTTGGTTGGTTGGTAAGGGAACCTCCTGTCATTACACGGGCCAAGGATGTATAGCAAAGCATGGGATGTGTCCTGATGGAACGATGTTTAAAATTCAGCACCGAGTGATGGGGCACCTGGGTGGCTCATTCAGTTAAGCGTCTGACTTTGGTTTTGGCTCAGGTCGTGAGCTCACGGTTCGTGAGTTCAAGCCCACATCGGGCTCCATGCTGACCATACGGAGCCTGATGGGGATTCTCCCTCTCCCTCTCTCTCTCTCTCTCTCTCTCTGCCCCTCCCCCCTCAAAAATAAATAAAACTTAAAAACTACCTAAAATAAATAAAATTCAACACCAAACGAAAAACATGAGTTAACTGGGCTGATGATGCCTCCTCACCGAGTTCAGCTTAAAAGCGAGCATGTGGGCCAGAGGCCGGGCGCAGCTCTACGCCTTTGGGTGGCGTTGACAAAGTGCCCTCCAGGGACTCCTTAAGGTTGACCTGGAGCTCACGGAGGGAAGTAGCTGGTGCAGAAAGGTGGGTTCGCTGCTCCCTGCCCTCTGCCCTAGCCAGCAGCATGTTCAGAGAGGACTGTTCCAGGACTGCCTCCCAGGGCCAAAGACAAGGTCTTCCTTCTTTAAATGGGTTCTGCTCCTGTTCACGGGTGGTAGCTGTGCCCCACCCCCCCTTTCCGGGTCCAGTCTTCTCAGGCCAGGACAGGGAAGCAGAGCAGAAACCTTATGCTGTGGACTTCGAGTGTCCCACCCGGTCACCGGCTGAGCAGCTTGTGCGTCTGTGACTTCTCTCTCCGCGGCCCTGAGCCTCACCCCA